AGCGGCGCTGTCCAGTGGAGATTAGGGCGTGCAGGCAGCGGAAGCAGGGCTGGGTGGGGGGGGGGCTGGCCAGGGGAGATCGGGAGGAGAAGGACTGGAGAACCAGCCTCCGGAAGCAGGGCTGGATGGGGGCAGCATGCTGGCCAGGGGAGATCGGGAGGAAAAGCAGGAATCGGCCAGCGGGAAATGGGACTGACAAAGGCATATGCAGACCCAGGCACACGAGTGATTCCGGCCCTGGGGATTCCACCCTCCCCACTCCTCCCCGAGTAGTTGCAAACTGCCTGGCTGGTAGACACACTCACGCAGCGTGAGCACATCTATCAGCCAGGCAGTTCACAGCTACAGACTGATATACCTAATAATAATAAAAACTTACCTAATTAGAAGATACTGGACATTTTATATATCCAGTATTTTCTCAATTTGTTTCCCAGACAGAACCCTCAAATACTGGACTGTCCAGTACAAAACTGGACAACTGGCAACCCTACCCCTAGCCAGATACCCTACCCCCAATCTGCTCCTGCTCCCGCCTCCTGGAGTGCCCACGCAACACTGTGTCCCACAAGGGATAGGGGAAAACACTAAACATTTATTCATTTTTAAATTCTTTTAATATGCGTTTATATTTTTGGGCTGCAAAAAAACAGTACTAAAAAAACCCAGGTTCCAACTAAAGTAAAAGGTTTGGGAAACCCTGGTCTAGCCACTTTCTATCCATCTTACCGTCCATTTATCTAATCCATACTCCCTTAACTTGCTGGCAAGAATATTGTGGGTGGCCGTATCAAAAGCTTTGCTAATGCTGGCACTGGGGGCTTTCGTAGGACCAGAAACAGCTTATCTGAATATTCATCATTTGCCTAATGAATATGCAAATAAATGTTACTGGTCCTCCAAAAGCTCGTGAATGGATTTACTGGTCCCCGTGTCAAAGTTTGGGAATCCCTGAAATAGTCAATGCAAACAAATCATTGACTATTTGATTACTAAAATAACCAATACTTAACGTCCTTACTTTAAACACCTTCCTGCAGATTGTGATCTTAATAGTGTGAGAACTTGACCATGAGTCTATGATCAGCAAGACTGCTCAAAGAATTGGCTACAGAGACTAATGTAACAGCCTAGACAGGGAAGGAATGTGCAAAAGGAAACTACAAAAAATGGGGCACAGAATATTGGAATTTCACTTTGAACTTAATCATCCGACTTTAATTAGTAACACAACCAAGAGCCATTTTATTTTTTAGTTATAGTCTCAGCAGTTCCTCCAACAGCTTTGTAGAAACAGTGGAGTAGTCTCATACTTTGCATCATGTGGTGTCTTTTACAAGAAACTCAAGCAACTCTGTGCACATTAATTACTCCAGACTCACATTGACTGGAGAGGCAGGGAAAGAAAAAGATAATACTCCCTATGCATTAAAGACAGAATGTAATTACTCAAACCAGAATTTGGCCAGGACAGTGTGGTTTGCATATTCCTCCCTCTTGTACCTGTTAAACACCGTACTCTTGAATTTTCTTATAGTAAATGCATTTTCAAGTGAGACATGGGCCCAACTCACAGCTGGGGTAAGTAAGAACAATAATTCTACCATCTTCAGTGGAGCAATCCCCATTATACCATGCCTGAACTCGATTGAGAACTCCATTCATGACACTTCCATAGCCACTGATATTTTGCCCCATTTTCCAACTGGCAACTTCAAAGTTCAGCTCAAGTATCTTCGGCACTAGGGGGGCCGCAATTTCAGTAAAGAGTTAAAAAGCTCTGAACTTGCAGGGGAAGGAAGACAGGATACAGTCAGGTCACTCAGAGTCCATGTCACCTTAAACCTTACTAAAAATTTGCAGCACTTCTGGTTTCAAAGATGTTGGGGAATGAAGACATATTCCAGACGCTCCAATACTAGTCTCCCAGCATTCAAATCCACAGGCACTGAGGTCTTGTCTGGCTGCTTCCACTATCAACGGGTCTGTGTCTGCCAAGAAGGAGGTTACACCAGCCAGTTAAGTTCAGCTTGGTCATTGCTGGGAGATGGAAATGTCTTGCCATGGATTTAATATGGATTAAAGGGTATTGTCATGAAAAGGAAACAAATGCCCAAAAGAACACCTATGAAGGGGGGGGGGCATAAAGGGATACATTTTATCTGTTTCTTCTTACATTAATGAACTGCCTGTTTACTGATCGGTTTGATTTAAGTTTGCAATGGCTGAAAACATGAATGGGCACTTAAGAATCCAGTAGTTTCTAGTATGCCAAGCGTCTACACTGAAGTAGCATTATAAAGGTGCAGAGTAAGGATGTAAAAGACTAGTCGACTATCCGATAAGCATTTTCTTATTGGATAGTATTTTGACTAGTTGATATCCTCCCCTTTGCTGCCTCCATACAGTGGTGCAGCGGCCCCTTTAAAGTGCCACTTGTGCGCCTTTCGAAGGAGATCCGTTCTGCTGATACTAATAAAATGCAATATTGACCCGATTTCCACCCATATGAGAGCACTTTTAATGAGCAATGAAAGTCCAGGAATTTAACTACTAAAACACATATCAACAGAAGACCATTATATTATCAGCTGTGCGGCGGGCTGTCCCTTTAAAACACCACCTCTGCAGTGATTCAAAGGGGCAGCCTGGAGCCCAGAGGCAGCAAATGTGGAAGTGTCTATCAACTAGTCAACTAATTGCATTTTAACATCCTTAGACACGCTATTTTCAGCTTATACACATCCTTTTAGCCCTTTAAATATGGAAGGCTGAAATTCCCATGTGAAATTAATAAGCTAACTACTGCCAGCAAGTTCTCTTACATGTTCTATCACTGTGCTTTTCAAACTTCTCATTTGTGCACCCCCATAAAGTTCTGAATGGAGATGGGGACTCTTGGAAATCTTAGTCCTCAGACCTTTTCCCCCCCCTCAGACCTTTCCCCCTCACCCCTGCCAGGGTCTGCAGACCACAGGTTACAAACCACTACTCTACTGTGTTTGTGATCATGATTGGGATGTTAAGTACTAGTCCATTCCCTCCCCCTCTTACTGCCTCTCATGATAGAGGCAGCAAAGGGAGTGGGGAAGGGGTACTTCAAAGCAGCAATGCTGCACAGGTGAGGTGGAAATCAGCTGTGTGGCACTGCCCCCTTTAAAACACCGTAGCAAGGAGCCTGGGGTCAAGTGGGAACCCCCCAGCTGGGCTCAGAGCCTGGGATCAGCTGGGGAGTCCCCCACTGACCCTGGGCTCCATGGCTTTGAAATGCACAGGAGCCCCCCCTGGGGATTCTTGTGCATTTCAAAGCAGGCACCCACATGCAGCCTGGAGTCAGCGGGACTTCCCGCTGGTCCTGGGCTTTGTATGTGGAGTTCTGCATTGCCTCTTGGGCACTTCCACATTCCTCCTTTGAAGTGTACATTGACTACTCGACTAGTCAATTAACTGCATTTTACCATCCCTAGATCATGATGATTTTACACAGTTGTTACTGTACACTACACACTGATCCTTCTGCTCCATAAGCAGAACTAGCCAGTAGAGGGCAGAAGAACAAAGGATTCCTGGACAATCTCCAGTATACTGTGCACTCACTACACGAGGGCTACGTCTAGACTGGCATGATTTTCCGCAAATGCTTTTAACAGAAAAGTTTTTCCGTTAAAGCATTTGTGGAAAAGAGCGTCTAGATTGGCACAGACGCTTTTCCGCAAAAGCACTTTTTGTGGAAAAGCGTCCGTGCCAATTTAGACACTCTTTTACGCAAAAAAGCCCTGATCGTCATTTTCGCGATCGGGGCTTTTTTGCGCAAAATGAATCTGAGCTGTTTACACTGACCCTTTTGCGCAAAAGGACTTTTGCCCGAACAGGAGCAGCATAGTCCCCACCCCGAACGTGAGAGTCATTGTATTTGTGGAAGAACACTGACAATCTTACATGAGATCATCAGTGTTCTTGTGCAAATTCAAAGTGGCCAGTGTAGACAGCTGGCAAGTTTTTTTGCAAAAGCAACTGCTTTTGCGGAAAAACTTGCCAGTCTAGATGCAGCCAGAGACAATAAACCTATTCTACATTCATTTAAGATGTGCTGGGTGCAACAGCCTAAGCAGCACAAACACTGAACCATGATAGCTGGCAGAACAAGGCCTCTGTTATCTACTTGAAGCTTCCACCAGTCTCAGTAAACAGAAAATTACTCACATAAAGCTCATCTGGAGAATGTAAAAGCTCTATGCATAGCAAAGGACCACCTCAGGTTTTGGTTTTTTTTAAAATATCGATTTAAACAATGGAGGGGCGAGAAGGGCTTTAATACACACACGCTTTATCAGCACCCATGTGGGCCTCTCTGGCAAGATAAAAGGAAGACAGAGTTCAATGATCAATCAATAATAAATTAAGGATTTCTGACCTGGTCTTAGCAGAGTTATTGCACAGCCACCTCCTCCAGCACCAGTCAGCTTACTGTGCAGCCCATGGTTGGCGGTCACTTGGCACACTCTATCCAGTGAGGTGTGGCCAACTCCAATCACATTTAAGTGATGCTGGTTTATGTCGACGAGCTCCTTAAAACAAAGCAATGATGATAAAACCACATGGATCTCAATCCTCCGGGTTACAAGTCTTCATTCCAGGGAGGAAGGGTGCTATTTCAAGGCACCTGAAAGCAGAGCTGGACTGTGGATGAGCTACTCATTACGAAGTCACAGAGGAACTGCCACATTTACTGCAAGAGGAAATTGAGCAGCACAACACTCTTGGGAACAAGCAATGCTGAACCATGAAACTGAGCCCACTGGCAGCCTCGGGCTTCTAGCCTAGATCTGCTATCCCTTTCTTTCCTCACAGCCACAGGTATCCATCCATTTTATAATGCTGTTAGAGAGAGGTGCCAATGGAGAGGTGCCAATGGAAACAATGGGCTCAGAGAGCTGCTAACACGCACTCTGAAGATGCTGAATGTTAGCCTTTGATAGTCTTGCCCTGCTTCCTTTCTCTCCTGCTATGCATGCACCGAACAGGACACCAGTCAAACCCTTCTCATACCGAGGGAAAAGAACCACTCTGGGTTCGCTCCCATTCCTAGTCAATTCAGCAATACCAAGGACACTGCTATCACTGCCAAGGCAATGATAAGCAATATTAAAGTCTCCTTTCTATCATACAGAACAGCTCTCCCCAGGGCAGAGATGCAGAACTCAGACTACAGGGCGTTTCCCCAGCATGAGGCAGGTACTCTTGGCTTTGCCTTCTAATACCTAGTCAGGCTCTCTAAAGTTTCCCCCTGTCCTCCATTCTGGGACCATCTAAGGACCATCTAAGGTCTATGAAAGTACACGTACACACACACACACACACGTACACACACGTACACACACAAAAAAAATGCAGAGATGATTTCTAGTATTCAAAAGCCCAGCTACTGCAAGCAGCCAGAACCCTGAGGCCATCCGGTCATCCAGATATCCTGCATGCCAGGAAACTGCAATAACTACAGGGCTAATCATGCCCAAATCCTGCTGTTTACTACAGTTAGTTGCTTGTGGCAAGGAGGCACGAATGGCCCAGGAGATTGATAACAGGACATGGACTCTTTCACCTCTAGTAAGCAGTTCAACTACAGCCCCTGGCAATCTGGGTCCAAAGTCATCACAATCAAACAACTGCTCAGTGTCCTTTAATACACAAGTTGGAGAAAGTCCAAGTCCACCCCTAGAGCACAAATATCCAATGCCACAAAACCAAGCATGAATGGCAGCTTCAGAGAGGTGATGGTGATTGAACAACTCCATTTCCCCCGAATATGAGCTGACTGGGGAGCGTCGATGGGGGCACTGCTTACAACATGCTTGCCATGTAGACACAGACCATTGCAGCACAGGGCTGAACTGTCAGCATGCACAGAACTAGACATGCACACAAAGAAATTTAAGGATCACAAGGGTGAGGGTTGCTTAAGAGGACAGAAGCTCAAAATTAAAGGAGTTAATTGGAAGGGAGCAGCTGGCTGAAATGCTGCCATGTGTAAGGCACAGGCCATTAGCAGGAGAGCACTGAAAAACAGGATAATGAAACAGTAGTGCATGAGAGAAGTACTCTTAAAACAGAACTAGAAGCTCCCCTCCCCCCGGATGTTAACAAGTGCACATGAATGGGCACCATTATAATTATCAAGTCTGATCAGTGGGCAGGAACTGAGCAGCCTGAACCAGGACAACATCCCCAGTTCCAATGAAGCTCAATCTACCCATCAGCTGACATTGCTGGTTCTAGCCAGTCACGCTAGCCATGCTGGCTCTGAACGAGATCCATCTGCTGCCTGAAACCACCACAGAGTGATTCTTTGTATTCCGACTGCACCTAGAACCCCCAACCAAATATCAGGCCCCACAGTACTAGCTGCTTTACAAACACATGTATAGTAAAAACTTAAACAACGAAGGGTCCTGCAGTACCTAAGAGACTAACAAAACATGTAGATGGTATCATAAGCTTCCATGGACACATCCCACTTCTTCAGTTGTATAGTAAAAGATGGACCTTGCTCTGGAGATCTACAGTCTAAACAGACAGACAAATGAGGGTCGGAGAGAGGAATATCTTCATGTTACAGGTGGGAAACTAAGGAACAGAGATTAACTGGCCTGCCCATGGTCACATAGTGGGTCTGTGGCAGAGACAGGAATTAAAACCCAGAACTGACTTAACCACAAGATTGCCCTTCCTCAATACATCAGAGATGCTAGTGTTGGAAGTAAGGCGTTTGGCAGCCATGAAATTCTAAAGCCGTAATGTTTTACACAGAACAGGGTCATGATTCAGCTACCAAACATAGCAGAAAGAGTCCCTGGCTGCCAGAGACCATGTTAAATAGGGTGAACTGAACAGCCAGCAGGCCAAACCCACTACACAATTCGTGATATTTTCTCTTTTCCATTCCCAGTTGGTGTCTTCACACAGTGCAACAATGAGCTGCTGCAGTGCCTCCACCTGACTTCTGATGACTTTTCCACCTACATGCTGCCGTTAGTGCAATAAGAAAAACAAAAAAGATTTAAGGAACAGCTAGCCAAAAACTCAAGAAGAAATAACAATTTTTTAAAGTACATTAGAAGCAGGAAGCCTGCTAAAAAAACGTGTGGGTCTCCTAGACGATCGAGATATAAAAGGAGCAATCAAGGCCGATAAAGCCATTGCGGATAAACTAAATGATTTCTTTGCTTCAGTCTTCATGGCTGAGGACGTTAGAGAGATTCCCAAATCTGCGCCGTCCTTTGTGGGTGATGAATCTGAGGAACTGTCCCAGATTGAAGTGTAATTAGAGGAGGTTTTGGAACAAATAGAAAAACTTAATGTTAACAAATCTCCGGGACCAGATGGCATTCATCCAAGGGTTCTAGAAGAACTCAAATGGGAAATTGCTGAACTATTATCTGTGGTTTGTAACCTATCCCTTAAATCGGCTTCCGTACCTAATGACTGGAAGGTAGCCAACGTGACACCAATATTTAAAAAGGGCTCTAGAGGTGATCCGGGCAATTACAGACTGGTAAGTCTAACTTCAGTACCGGGCAAATTAGTCAAAACAATAGTAAAGAATAAAATTGTAAAGCATGTAGAAGAACATAATTTGTTGGACAAAAGTCAACATGGTTTCTGTAAAGGGAAATCATGTCTTACTAATCTATTAGAGTTCTTTGAAGGCGTTAACAAGCATGCGGATAAGGGGGATCCAGTAGATATAGTATACTTGGATTTTCAGAAAGCCTTTGACAAGGTCCCTCACCAAAGGCTCTTGTGTAAATTACATGGCCATGGGATAAGAGGGAAGGTCCTTTCTTGGATTGAGAACTGGTTAAAAGACAGGAAACAAAGGGTAGGAATAAATGGTAAATTTTCAGATTGGAGAGGGGTAACTAGTGGTGTACCCCAAGGGTCAGTCCTGGGACCAATCCTTTTCAACTTATTCATAAATGATCTGGAGAAAGGGGTAAGCAGTGAGGTAGTAAAGTTTGCAGATGATACCAAACTGTTTAGGATAGTCAAGACAGAAGCAGACTGTGAGGGACTCCAAGAAGATCTCACCAAACTGAGTGATTGGGCAACAAAATGGCAAATGAAATTTAATGTGGATAAGTGTAAAGTAATGCACATCGGGAAAAATAACCCCAACTATACGTACAGTATGATGGGGGCTAATTTGGCTATGACAAATCAGGAAAGAGATCTTGGAGTTATCGTGGAGAAGTTCTCTGAAAACTTCCACACAGTGTGCAGTGGCGGTCAAAAAGGCAAATAGGATGCTAGGAATTATTAGGAAAGGGATAGAAAATAAGACCCAGAATATCTTACTGCCCCTGTATAAAACTATGGTACGCCCACATCTTGAATCCTGTGTACAGATGTGGTCTCCTCACCTCAAAAAAGATATTTTGGCCTTGGAAAGGGTTCAGAAAAGGGCAACTAAAATGATTAGGGGTTTGGAACGGGTCCCATATGAGGAGAGGTTAAAGCGACTGGGACTTTTCAGTTTAGAAAAGAGGAGACTGAGGGGAGAATATGATAGAAGTATATAAAATCATGAGTGGTATGGAAAGGGTAAATAAAGAAAAGTTATTTATTAGTTCCCATAACAGAAGAACTAGGGGACACCATTAATTTCATTTGGGTAGCAGGTTTAAAACTAATAAAAGAAAGTTCTTCTTCACACAGCGTGTAGTTAACCTGTGGAACTCCTTGCCAGAGGAGGCTGTGAAGGCTCGGAGAATAATAGAGTTTAAAGAGAAGCTAGATAATTTCATGGAGGTTAGGTCCATAAAAGACTATTAGCCAGGGGATAGAAATGGTGTCCCTGGCCTCTGTTTGTCAGAGGCTGGAGGAGAAGGATCGCAGGCAACAAATTGCTTGATCATTGTCTTCGGTCCACCCTCTCTGGGGCACCTGGTACTGGCCACTGTCGGTAGACAGGCTACTGGGCTAGATGGACCTTTGGTCTGACCCAGTAAGACCGTTCTTATGTTCTAATGGCATGCCTTTGGATGAGGCTTTAACTGCACAGAGGGAGGAGGTACAAGAAAGCATGGTCAGTGTCAATCACCATGGCTCCTATCCTGCCCCCATGGGACTCCTGTAAAGGAGGGATGTCATTGTGTAGTTGACTACACACAGGGCCATCCTTAGGATTTATGGTGCCCTAGGCGGGATTATTAAACTGATGCCCCTATGCCTGACTTGCTCTTAGCAATGCAAACATAAGCTTGCAGTATTGGAAAACTTGCCACGCGCACGTTATTAAAAACAGTTTTACTGAATTAAGCACACTAATGCTGCTGGACTAGCACTAAAGTAGCAGCACGACAAAAATTCTGATTTGACAGAATGATGCAAATATAATTTTTTAAATTAGTCAACATTTTATTGGAAATTTATGAAGAACCCTGCCCTCCTTCACCAGCTGCAAGATGGGGGCCAGCTGAAGGCCAGGGTTGGCCCATGGAGCCCTGCTCACCCTAGACAAACTTGAGGCCAGGCCCATCACATGCAGGCCCCCAAGGCCCCTCGGAGG